GCACGAAATTTCGCAAAAAGTTGGCTCCGAGAATATGGACGAGTTAGTACTCGATTTTTGCGATACGGTGGATGAAACGAGAATCCAAAAAGCGAGTGCTCTATCGTGTGTAATAAAGTCCAGAGTTTTTCAGTGATTGCGCAATATCTCTTCTCGCATCACTATTTCCCATCGATGTTGCTGTATAAAAACACGAATGCAGCTCAGAGAAGTCAGGTTTTATTACATAACATACATAGACGACGTTTCCCCATCTTTTAGCTCAACCCTGGTTTAATCATTTCATCGATGAAAAATCCTCGGTTTAAAGGAATACCCGGCAAAGGAATTTTTCCTCCAAGGAACAAGAAATTTTTTTTTTTATTTGGAAAAAAATTGTCCGACATTCAATCATCAAAAAAAAATAAGTAACGACATTATCATTAGTTTCTCCATTAGCATATCCATCTGCAAGGAGAACACGACCACTCGATACAGGACATGACTGTCCCGTCATCAATCCCGCTGTCATCATCATCATCAGTTGATGCGGCTGCACCACCTGCCTCGAACATATCCCTCTGACGCCTGTCCACCTCTCCAGCCTCCATCTGTCTTCAACCTCATCTTAAAAAAAAAACTACTTACACTAGGTCACTGGTCGTGGAAACTGCACGACTCAGGCCGTTTGCTGTGCAAATTTCCCTTCTGTCTTGCTTACCCTCGACACAACCCTAACATTTTCAATCCCCGAGGATAAAAGAAAAATAAAAAAAAAAAGCCGCGGCATAGCTTGTGCTTCTGTTGTTTAGGTACCCCCCGTGTTTGTTGCGCGCGCAAACCACTTGTGCACTTTCCATCCCCTTCTCCGTCGGCACGAGAACCATACGTCCAAACCAAGAGTAGCGCGATCGTCGACGCCTCCAGTCAGCCTCCAACGAGCCCGAGCTTTTCATCCTCTTTCATACTGCGAGTTGGACACCGAGAGTCCAAGTCCCGGTCCTCCCGGTATCACTGGGAACAAAGTTTTAATCGAATCTCTATATCGGTATTCAACGAAATTCACATGCGTACTGTGTTCACTAATTTCTCTCGGTTAAAATCAAGGGACAAGTTGTTCCTCCATCACTGAATTTTTTCTTCTTCCTCCAACACGTCATTTGTATACATTCGAAGAGTAAACACCGAGAATAGCAATCAAGCGTGACAAGCCACCGTCAGAAAAGTATATCTAACAAACATAAACAATTCAACTTACTCTCGCAAGCACACGACGACCTGAATTCCAGTGATAACAAATATTTTTGTTTTCTCTGTCTTTCTCCTCTTCACTATCTTCCATCCGTTGTACTGGATTCGCTCTCTCTTGGCGATTGAAAAACTTGCCACAGCTGACTGTGTACCAAAGTACCAAATTTGTCTTCCAAGTGTTTTCAAGTGTACATTATGAAAAACGCATTGCCACGTGTCGTGTAAATATGCGAATTGTATACATGCAGTTTATCGTGACTTGAGGTGAATACACGTTGGCCGGAAACGAGTTGAGTGCACTTTGGGCACGCAAGCTAAACGTCGATAACAAGAACTGAAATAACCGAGTGAAGAAAACTGTCTCTGAAAACATCCGGCAAGAGTGAAGAGGGCTTGGGTGGAGGATTGCCACGTGGACTTGTCAAAAGTACAGATAGGTGGATATAAGATTTGACAGTGGAAGGAATCTTTGGTGAAGTAGTTGGGCAGTACGTGCAGCGTGCCGTACTCTCGTCGTCGTGCGATGCTCGAAGCTGAAGAGAGTGGGAAGTGCCGAGAGTCTGCACGTTCCAAGAGGTAGCACGAAATATTGCCCTTCATCAGCTGGTGTGAACTCTGGTTGTCTACGCGGTTGTCTACGAGGACGACGACGTGGAGTCAATCGGGAGTGGCTAAAACATTGTACAAATAGGAAGAGAAAGAGGAAGAAAAAAGGAAAAGGGAATTTGGGGTGCATCGATGATAAATTAGATGTATAAACGAGTCAAGTCGTCGAGAGAACAGCCACTGGTGAATCGTGAGTAGGAAGTGGCGAGACTATTGTCGTCATCGGTGAGGAATATCGAGTGGTCGTGTCACGTACGAGTCGTCAATCTTCGGTGAATATTGGAGACAAAAAAAAAAGAAGTGGGAGGACATGACCGATAATCCGATGATCCGACGACGCTGGTGAATCGAGTGCTGCCGGAGGCTAAAGAGTGCAGGAGAAAATACAAATCGACCCGGGGGAGACCAGTGAAGGTGTAAATAGGTGTACATAAACCGCAAGACTACGCACATGCACTAACTAGGGACAGAGTAATTACACGGATTTGTTACGAGAATTCGTTGGGCTCGAGGATATGATATATACCTCGGTGACTAGAGAGGAATAACAAAGAGCCAGCGTGCGGATTCACAGGGCCCACCTCTCGCATCCCTTCCACTTGCATTATCCTCCATTTCCGCATCCTCTTTCATTTTGCCCCTGGCTAAAGCAAGGGAATTATTTAGTAGATTATTCGATTTAAGATTGCAGTTAAATAACTTAGAGATTAGAAGTAAACGAGAGCAGGCTCAGGAGTAATCCTTGGTGGAGTCTAAAGCAGACGTAATAATTAACTAATTAATTGATTAATGGGGCACCTTAAGGGTTGCCTGACGTCTAAGATTTTTCATTGATAACGATTTAACGTGAAGGAGTTAACAAGGAAATCCACTATTTCACGTCACTCATTGTTTTATCCTCGTTGTTAAATCGTTGTAGTTTTTTGAAAAGCAGGTCGGAGCAGTACGGGTAAAAAAACAATAGCCTTTCTTCAAAAGAATAGGCCTCAGTGGTAATTCTTTAATGGTTGTGTGGCGTTATTAGTACGGCACTCAATAAATTTTAGAGTGAAAAAGTTAATCAGAGTAGACGAGAGAAAACAAATTGTATTTAATCTTGAATATCATAGTGAGGATCGTAATAAGAGTAGTGGTAAATAATAAGGCTGAGAGGGAAGTGTCTCGAGGTAAAGGAACGTTGAGGAGTTTTTGCGTCAGAGTGTGAGGGACGAGAGAAACGGAAAGTGTCGGTAGGGAATATCGAGTTGAGACTAGAGAATATAAAAAGGAATCTCTCCTTGAAATAAGCGAGAGTTACGGTTAAATTACATAAAGCGGTTGAAGGATCAAAAGGTCTTGATTAAAAATTTCCCTTCCTCTTGAATTCGTTTTATTCCCTATTTTCACTGTAACAAATTCCTCGAAATCAATTTACCACTTGGCCCTCACTCTCTTGCTCTTCTTTTTTTTGATTATTTTATAAGTGAAAAAAAGAGGACTTTGAAACGTGAGTGGAACGAGAGCAACGGGACCAATTTATTCGGGCTTTCTCATTCACGTGGCATTCGCATTATTGTTCTGTGAATGATTAACTATTTTTTTTTTTCGCCTCACTTGAGAAACGGAAGCGTAAAAAGCTGCCGAAGCGGTTAAAATAAGGGTGAGAGAGGGAGATTTGCTGAGACCACAGCAGGAGGAGAATAAAAAAAGAAAGGATAAATAGTTAAATGTAATGGGCATCGTGGTATATCCATTTGTCTCTACATTCATTTCCCCTCTTTAATCACTTCTCCCACCTAGTTCCGTGTAATATTCACCCTCTTGGCCCGTTCCGCAACGCACAACACTAGCAATAAATCAAGTAGACGAAGAGAAAACGGAAGTGGAAGAGTGTACAGCAAAAGGAGTGATGGCGATGAAGTATAACTGAGAGGATATTATTACTTGAAAAAAAAAAAAAGAAGATACATATTAACGAAGCGATTCACCAGGAATATACACAACCCAGTGTATCCGTCATACGATCGATAAAGGAAGGTTTGAGGGTTTCATAAATAGGTTGACCAGTTGAATAAAGCTCCCCTTGTGGTACAACCGGCGTGATAAGCCTCAGCGAAAGCGGAGGAATAATAAACTACTGGGGGCAATAACGTGTGGGTAGAGTGGGTTGAATTATACCTAAATAAGGAATACAAATAGAAAAAAAGGTAAAAAGAGAAAAGTAAAGGAAAGGAGGAGAGAAACAGGCAATGAGGCGATCTTGAAGCGGGCATGTTGGCCCTGGCCTCCCCGAGATGCGACGAGAGGAATTCAAGCGTGCACGAGAAGGCTGGCAGGGTCGCTGCAACGTGCCACAAGGGCCTCAGTCCGATCTCATCGAATCGTCATCACGCCATATTTATTTCCTCTATTTCGCTCCAACGTGCATTAGCACTGATGCTGCTACTATTGCTTGGCACGTGTGTGGCGCATCGACCGCTGCGTCAACCACAGTACAGAAAAAAGCAATACGAATTGACAACGCTGAAGGGTGTTACAACGGTGCGATAGCACGAGCTGGATTCGAAGGTGCGAGTCATGCCGAGCTCCGAGACAACGGACATGAGCAACGCCAATAACCCCGGTAGTTTGGCGTCGACTAGCATCTTCGAGGAGAACATGAGCACTCTGGTCGACTGGTCATCCTCAGACATCACCAGCAGTCTTACTGTCCCATCATCAACTCCCCTCCCATCATCATCATCAGTTAATGTTGCTGTTACAACTGAATTTAATGTAGATCAGCATGAGACAGTTGGTGGTAGTGGTGGCAGTGGTGGTCGTCTGATGACAACCAATTGTCCAAGTAGTTTATATCACTGCAACGAGGACCAAGTCACTGATTCGTTGATTGGTAATCAGGAGGACAGTGAGCAGGGGGAGGACGAGGGTTACGCATCGGGTGACGAGAGTGGCAATATCGAGGACGATATCTTTATAGAAGTGTCCTCTATACGCGGTAACGAGGAGGAGTTACGATACGTATCCACTGGCACTGATATTGGCGAAGATCCCGTTATTCTCTTCGGATTCGACGACGATTTTAGCACGATGGAGGAGCAGTTGATCAATGTCAGTATCTTAAATAGAACTGACAATATCACTGATCGGAATAACACGTACGGCGGTAATGGTGATAGCCTTTATCCGTCTGGCTACAGTTTGCTACAAATAATTCTAGCATCGATAGCAGCAACGATTCTCATGATTGTAGTTGTAGTTGGTAATGTGCTAGTTATAATAGCCATTGCCACTGAAAAAGCCCTGAAAAGCATACCAAATTGGTTTATCGCTAGTCTAGCTGTTGCTGATTTCTGTCTCGGTCTTGTTATAATGCCCTTTTCCCTGGCCAATGAGATCATGGGCTATTGGATATTTGGTTATTGGTGGTGTGACGTATACTCAGCGATGGACGTGTTACTGTGCACTGCGAGCATAATGAATCTATGTCTCATAAGTTTGGACAGATTTTGGAGTATAACACATGCTGTGGCGTACCTCAAAAAGAGAACACCGGTACGTGCTGTACTCATGATAGCACTCGTATGGTTGCTATCAGCTCTAGTGTGTATACCACCGTTACTTGGTTGGAAGAGGCCGAGGGTCGAGGAGGAGTATCCAAAGTGCATGGTAAGTTGATTCATCTGTACCTCATGTACCATGTCTTCACATCTATTTTTTTTATAAGCCCATGGGCAAACTCAAAAACAAAAAAAAAACCCAGAAAGCCCCCTTTGCCACCATAAGTGCTTCACCGTTTACTTCAATATTCTATCGCATTACTTCGCTTTACCTTGCCGTGTGCGTACTCGAGCTAGCATTATTCCACTATTTCCACTTCTCAGTGACTTGCAGCGTTCCTTTGCACAACGGTATACACTTGGCTGAGGGCGAGAGAGCTACTGCGATGAAAAATTCATCATAAATGCTCGTCTAGCTCTCTCCCTCATTCACTTACTAGACTCGGAAGAGGCATGTTAAAAGAAGATAAAAAAAAAAGAGAGATCTCGGGGGTTGGGCTGGGGAATGTGAAAAGGGATGAGGAAGAGGTAAAGGCTCTCTTATCTCATCGTTTACGTTGCCGCGGCGGCGCGACGCCCGGTATTTTGTTCCTCCCTCCGAACAGTGGATTCCCATTAGTGGATTAGTGAATAAATTGGATGAGTGCTCTGTTCTTTTTCATTTTTTTTTTTTCTGATTTTTTTTTTCATCCACGCTGCCTCGGCCCTATCGCACGCGGAGACAGAAGGATACGTGAGCCAACCCGAGACCCAATCCCTCCGACAAATTCTCCAGAGGCAGTTTAATCCACATATTCACCCCGGGACAGCAGCCTAACTCACCTGTATTACAATGCTAAAGTTATCATAACGTGTTCTAGGCGTTTTCCGTTGTACGTGTCACTCGGCAATACTGAAACGAGAGAGAGATGAAAAAAGGGAAAGCGAGAGGAGAATTGTACATTAGTAGCGCACAAGTTGAGGGTACATTATTTTCCAGCTTACCGGTTCCCCTCTTGCAATGGGCTTGTGTACGGCCTGCGGCAGCTCAACGACACACACCCTTGACCTATTTTAAACAGTTGTAGCTGTGGTTGTAGATGTAGAATAGTTGACCGGGGGACGTATCATCCGAGTCTGTAAATCCACAAACGTCTACCCCACACTTGCTCATCCATTTTATCAACTATCTCTCTCTTTTCCACCACGTGTCTCGTCATTTTGTCCCTTTTGTACGTATACATCGCGAACTGTCCCAATCCACCCGAGCATTCACTCGTTTCACTGCGCTAGGGGGCAGGGGTTGGATTGAGCCATAGGGAGGAATGAAATCATTTCGGTCGCTGAGATCCTCTGAGCTGTCAACGCTCGTTTCCTATGCCAACGGGGCCAATCCGTCCGATGGAAAAAATAGAGTGCATTGTCGAAAAAAAAAAATCGAGGAAATTACTTCGTGGGTGGCACCGGCTCTTGTCTGCTACTGGGATGTTTTTTCTCGATTCATTTTTCGGGATATGCGGTGAGAACAATTTTTCTAGAAATTAGGGGAGTTGATGGGAATTATGATTGGAATATACTTTTTTATCTATTCGTTGGTCTTTGGGGATGACAATTCGATTTTCTTGTAGTGCATTACAATCTAATGATTTTACGCGAGTGCAAACTGCGTGACGACTCGAAATTTTTAATTGTATATTTGATGGTGAATTAATTCAGTTTCGCAGAAAAATTATTTTGAGGTCTTATATATCCATTACCTTTGTTCTCATTATAATTTATACAGCAACTCTATAATATTTTGATATTACGAATTTATGTTTTGGGTAGAATGGAGTAAGGGAATATTAAAAATTTACAGAATACTGAACATTCACTTTCACAATCTATTCCGTTTGATGTGGGATCGGCCCATTTTTCTCGACAATTTTCCTCCACCAATCCCTACGATGTCTCCAAAATTTAAGCATTCCACCGAGCATAAAGCGGAATCGAGTGAAATGTCATGTTCGGGCGAGTAGAGAATGAAGGATGACATAAGGGATGAGGACAATTTCATCCAGCGGGTGTGAATTACGCCAAGAATTTTATCACATTTCCACTGTCCTCCCAATTTCAATTCGTCGTTCGCCAAGTGTTGCCTCCCCCCATTAAAAATGAAAAATTCAAAAGATTTTCCTTGCGAAATGAATTACACGCAAAAATCGCAATTGAACGCTCTTGCTGTGTGATGCTGTTGGCCTCATGAGAAGAATAAATCTTTATACTCCTCCTCGCCAACCTCTCACCACGCTCCAACAATCCAAGACTGACACTTTTGTTTTACGATTCCGACTTGTTTCCCCACATGTACAGACATACAACATTGGCGCCATTTCGTTTCGACTGGATTTTTCGCGGGACTCGGTACTTGCACTACATAATTCTCATGGCGATTATATATTACATCCCGTTTGGTTTTTTTTTCTTCGCCTGTTCCCCGCTCTTCACACCATCGGACAGAATTTCTCACTTTTATTCCAAAGGTGCACCTCCGCCAGTTGTTTCATTTGCTCTTGTACATTTTCCCTCCCCCTCCCCCTCGTCTTCGTGGCACGCTAGACTATAGGGTAAGAGAGTATTTTCATCCACCAACATTGCTGGAGAATTCTCACCCCCGTGGGATCAATGTTGACTATCCACTCGTGGACTCGCTTCTCCACGTTATTTTATCTTTCGTTGAGAAAAAAAAAAGGAACAAGAGGAATAAATTGTTCTTCAAAAAACTTTGAAACTCCTCAGCTGCATTCACCGGAGTTTTCCGAGCGAATGTTTTCATTCGTTTGTGAATTGAATATTCCTCTTGAGAAGAAGACTGCACACTTCACTGCATCAATTCATAGGATCCACCTCATTCGTCAGTTTATTCTCTTTTATCAATTTTGATGAGTATAATTTTTTGTTAAACCGTGAAATTGAGGAAGGGGTTGGTTTATTTTGCCAATTGAGCGATACCCTGAGGCCGACATATTTGATTTATTAAATTAAAACAGCGCTCGGTGTGCCGAACTTTTTTCATAATTTCCACTGAGCGTCATATTGAAAAGTTTCACGTTTCCCTTGCGAGTTGGTTAGAGTAAACATAAACTTAGTGTTTCGTCGCCTGTTCATTGGAAATTCAACGGTTGGTGTTAATTAACGAAAGTTCACTGCCACAAATTACATTTACAACCAATATCATGCTTAACTCAATGATAAATCCAATGCGATGACTCATGTCTGACTAAATCAGGGCTCTTTTCACTGAATACGGTGATATATTTGAATTACACGTGTCAAATACAGCTGTACAGTGAGCATTTGAATGGCTTCACCACACGACTTTGCACATCAATAGAGATACGAGGCTATTTCATATTTTCAGGGGGTTTTCTTCGAGTTAGAATTTCGATCGAATGAAGAATGAGAGATCCTCAGTGTAGCGTGTTTGGCTGCTGCACTCGACACTATCCCAACTCAATATTTCCATTTTGAGAACGACACGCCCGAGGATTTTCCATTGGCGAGATGTCGTCGCGTCTTCTATCGAATAAATACGAGTCCTCCCTCTCCGTTTCCTTCACGCTTGACATTTCAGATTCGTGTCCCTGGGAATTTCTGCTTAGGAACGTGTCAAACTCTACTATTTTCACCAATGTATTCGATACCTGGGGTGGAAAACATTGACTTGAAAATGTCAAGAATTTTCTTGAAGAGTGTCGATATGTCTTCAATGAAATCACTCGCTCTTCTCGATAAGACAATGACAGAAAATTATTAAAAATACCTTTACACGGTGCGTTGAAAACTCATATTGTTTCTAATTAAAATATTGAACCAATTGCGCGAAAGTTCTCCCCCAAGCTTAAGTACTGTATCTCCTGTCATGATCGATAGTGGGCAAAATGGAATTATTACGAGTTAATGAAGGTACACAGATATTGCGATCATCCTAAAACACGCAAGTATCATTTCCCCCGTATTTCTCATTTAATTCTTCTCATTCTCCTCGGTACATTCAAATAAGACTCCTATACCCTGAGAAAATCTTAGACAACCGCCAATCCCATAATTTTTCAATTACACATTGAGAGTAGCCAAAGGATTGGAACACGCGATGCGGATCAAAAAACAAAGTCCCACAACTTCCGAGAAAACTTGCTCAACTACTCAACCTACAATCGTGCTCCACCCATGATGATGATTATAAATTAATTATACCTCACCACCTTAATGATCATGCTGCTGGAACATGTGAGGATTACAACCCCATGTTTCCAATTTCTCTTCTATTAATTTTTATTCTCGACAATCAAGTGGGCCAGGGGTTGGTTGAAGAAATATTGATTCCTTACCGCAGCTCTACGACCCGAATTTCGGAACAAAACCGTTGTTCCTCACGGGTCCCTATTCCCTTACCATCATTTCATGGTTTATACCAAGTTGCCCCAACTGTCAAGAGTATGGCAAAAAATCCCATCCAACAATAACAATGAGAGTGGTAATGGCTGTGTTGGTGCTTACGAAAAACTTTTCAACGTCGATGAACTCGATAAATCGTTTTTTCCCATAGGACAGAGCCAACCATCGAGAGCACCCTGAGATTTTACCACCTTACCCCCTATCCACTGCTATTGTTGTTAACATCAATGGGATGAACCTCATTGTTGTTGGAGACAGGGGGCTAGCAGTATTGATGCTCCAGATAGGAGCTTCATCTAATAATTTCGTAAATCTAATGAGAAAAAGAGGAAAACTGGGGTGAAAATAGAGGAGGAAGAGATGGATAGATATTGGTCAATCTGTGGTCAGACAGTGGAGAAGGAGGAGAGGAGGCAGGGACGATTGGTAAGAGCAATTTCTGAATGTGCAAGTAGATTGATGATAGCGGAGACGATGTGGTGTTCTTTGAGATGCGACAGATAGGGGTCTTCGGGCGCTTGACCGTCCACTTGATGAAGGACAATAGAGGTGTAAATACTTGGCGAGGCCAAAGGCTTGTTAGGGGATTGGTAACGGGTTTGAAGGGCAGCCTGAGGCTATGAATTAGGTAGACGTGACGAGACGAGAGGCCAGGTAATCCGCTCCGTAGCTTTTTACGATCCTATCCACCTT